TTATTAGTAGACTAGAGGCCCAGTGCACAAATTCATGCACTTTGAAAGGAATTGTGGGCCGCAAGGCTGTAGTGGGCACAGGGACGGGTTTTGGCCCCTCCTCCATGCCCCTGCCCAGCCCCTCCAGCCATGGCCCCTGGTCCCTTGTCTGCCAGCAGCCCCTCTCCCATCACTGCCACTCCCACGTGCTGATGGTGCAGAGCAATTGGGGCCAGCAACAGCAGTGGGTGCAAGCAATGACTGCTTCCCCAATCACCACACATGAGCAGGGGGAGGTGGAGAAGTCCTGAGGAGCAATTGGGCCTGGCAGCCACCACTCACACCAACTAATGGCACTGAGCAATTGGGACTGGCACTGGACACCAGCAGCAGGTGTGAGCAGGGCCAGAGCCAGCAGCAGGTGCAAGAGGTGACTGTTGGTTCTGATTGCCCCTCAGGAGCAAGGGGATGTGGAGAAGCCCTCAGGGACAATCAGAGCCAGCAGCTGCCCTCATACTCACTGATGCTGTGATCAGGGCTGGTGTCAGATGCCAATAGTGGGTGCAAGCTGTGGCTCTGGTGCCAACAGCAGGTGTGAGGGGGGTTGTTGCTGGTGTCAGGTGTTAGCACAGGGCGGGACCACAGCACACAGGAGCAAAGAATTGTCAGTAACCACTAGAGGCTTGCCCGGATGACAGCGACTGGTGCCCCCTCCTTGGTTTGGCACCCGCACTCACCTGCTCCACCATCCTGCTGCAGCCAACACCCACCATGTTCCGCACTCTGCCACCTGCTGCCAGTGCCCATCATGTCCTGCATGCACCACGTGGTGGTCAGTACACATCGTATTGGTATTGACCAGTTGTTTGTTTATTTGGTTGGTTGTTCGGTTATTCCACCGTTCAGTTTATTTGCATATTAGCCTTTTATTATATAGGATTACCTGGGATACACATTCATTCTGGTTTAATCTTTACTCAGTAATAAAAGTGTTTTCTTCCACTATCACCTTTGTGGGAAGGACTTTTGAATTGGAAGAAGATATCATTTTTAAAAATATTTTTTATTGATTTCAGAGAGGAAGGAAGAGAGAGATAAACATCAATGATGAGAATCATTGATTGGATGGAGCCCACAACCCAGGCATGTGTCCTGACTGGGAATTGAACTGTGACCTCCTGGTTCACAGGTCAACACTCAACCACTGACCCATGCTGGCCCAGCAGAAAATATCATTTTAAATAATATTTCCTCAACAGTGCTTTGGTTTGTTGGGAGTGCTTAGGTTATAAAAATTGGGGGTAAAGATAAAACTAGAGGGGAAATATAAGGCAAAAAGCAAAGAAGAATCCTATGTTAGAGTGTAGGGTTTATTCCATAGGCTATTAGGGGCTATGAAAGATTTTTAGTCAGGAAAGTGAATACATTTTTGACCTTAGAAAAAATTACTCAGGATGCAATATGGAGGGTGGGACAAATGGCAAAGCACTAAATATGGACACAATTATAATTTAAAATACTATTTAAGGATTTTCTTAGCCCAATTTTCTTTGCTAACCTTTCTCTATGTCACCTAACAATATTTGGATCCGAATATTTTTATTTTTACCTCAGGGACATTTTTCATGGATATAGAGAGCAGAGAACAACAATAGTGGATGTGGCCTCATGCTACTTTTCCTGACTGGTTTGGGTGCTCTTCTGGTCCTATGAACTCAGCCCAATGACTCTTAAGGTCCCAAGCATATTCAGGATCTAGAATATCACTGATGGTGTCAATCAGGAGAAAGGAGTTGCTTATTACAGTGGTTTCTACCATTGACTAGTGTTCAGTTTATGGTAAACAATTGCTTGATATTTAGTGAGGTCCTGTACACAGTACAAATTCAAGTGTGATTATTAACACAAATGCCTCACTTATTAGAAACCTCTATCTGGACCTCCAAATTGTGACCATTAAGTGCCTGGGTTCATGTGGGTTCAGGTTTTCCAAGTATAACAACCCATAGATTTTCTTAACATGGGACTTTGTAAATAGAAATTGAGAAAAACCAAGACACTGTGCATGAACTACACATACATTTATTAAATAGTTAACAAAAGCACAACAATAACCACTAACATTTAACACAGATATGAAGCTCTCTTAACTGCCAATTTCCCCAACAAAGAATCGTTCAACTCTTCAGGTCATGAAGGCTAAAGCAAAGTCTCAGTCATGATCCTATTCTTTCCCACTCTCTTTTTAAGACGTACATTGATCCTAAACGGGTTGACCATCATCTTCTGTAACCAGAACACCTCTAGAAATATGCTGACTGCAGAGTCTCCTCAGATTCCTTCTGCATCCTCTCAAGTTCAGTTGTTACTGCTTTAAAAGGTGCTGCTGCTACTGGTTGTTGCTACTTATCCACTGTTACTCCGATTTTTTACCAATCTCTTTCTTTGTACTTTTACATGCATAAAATGTACTGAATCTTTTATGGAGAAAACTCCCTTTTCCTTATTAGGTAAACCTATAATCTTTCATTTATATGTTGTGCTTTGCCTGGGTTCCCTGGCTGCCTTTGCACTGTACCGTTTTCATGCACAATAAGAATACTGGGCTACTCTAACCAGAACTTCCTTCCTATACTGATTTCTGCATCTACTTCAGGATATTGTGCTTTTTCTTTTGGCATCCATCTGTAAGGACAAAAATTAGACCTGTTCATCTCCCCAACTTCACCCTTATGTCTGGGTGGCTTACCTTTTTATCACTGGTGCTCTTGGCTTTTATTCCTCAGCCTGACTGTCCTCCTGCCTAAGGGAAAAGTATAAATCCAGGCACCAAAAGAAAACTTGGGAAGGCCAAATTAAATTGATATTTCTAGTACAGAAAAGAGTCAAGTAAAAAATCGGAGTATGAGTGTTCATCTGGTTTTGCCTGTTGGTCAACTTTCTTCTAGCCTATAGAAATTTCATTGTCATGATGATCAGGAATGCCTGCCCTCAATTCTTACCTATCACTCAGTAGCCTCAAGAGAAAGACATAAACTGAATTCTGATGAGGCCAAATACCTCTTACAAATGTCTATATACTGAATTGGTTTTAGTGCTGGGATTATCACAGACTCACAGAAACATGCACAACAATATATCAAAAAGCTCAAATTTGACTTATCAAAAAATGTCATAGTGGGAACCACACTTAGAAATAGTAAAACATAAGGGGGCACTGGAGCTAGTAGCTCTGTATGATTCAGTTTATATTGGACAGGGACCCAACCTCGTCCCTGTCCCATTTTACTGTTATAGATATGTGAACAGTAATACTTTATTCTGTTACAACCTCTCATCCACAGGCTCTTCACCACAGTTTTCCATCAGCTCCACTACCAAATGGTGGCCAATGAGAAGTTCACAATTAGTGTGTTTAAGTATTTAGAAATCTGACAGAATAAAATCCAAGTTACATTTTGCTTTCTTAAAAATCTAAAATGATTATCCTTTCATTCCTGTGCCATTTATTGGACAAAACAATTTTAAGTGAGAGAAAACATTTTAATGAAAAAAATCTATAAATCCCATTATTATGAAACCATTGAGGTCCATCTTGTAGAGAATAAAATGAACAGCACTGGTTTAATATGTTACATTAAAGATGCAGGGTAGAACGGAATAACTGGAAATTACAAACTTCTAATAATATATATTAGAATATGCCTCTTTTTTTGAAATGGAATAGAAACCAATAAGCATTATCTCAAAATTTTAAATATTCTTTTACTAAAATATAAGTAAATCTTTATGGGGTTAGTAACTATGGGGTTATATGTTTTCATAGGGATAATACATCTAATACAATGAATGATTATATCATTCAAAATACTGAAGGTATATTGGGAAATAAATTTATTCTATGTATGAAATATAACATTGATGAGGCAATGAGGGATAAGGACACCTATGTAATACCTTAATCAATAAAGAAAATTTAAAAAATATTTGAAGATTTGAGAAAAAATATAACATTGAATCAAATTGAAAACTTAAATTTTACATTAGAATTACAAAATATGAGGATTAATATGCTAGAACATGAATAGCTTTTAAGTGAACGCTTAACGTGTGAATATGGATTCATAAAAAAAGACATAACCAAGAAATTTGACATTTTATTAAAATACCAAAAGATGAGCATAGAAATAGCATACTAAAATGAATTGTATAATGCACACTTTTAAACACAAAAAGCAAAAGCAGTTCAGCACACTAAAATGAGTTGTATATGCACATGTTTAAACACAAAAAGCAAAAGCAGTCCAGCACTAAAACTTGAGGGAAAAAAAATTAAAATCAAAACATCTAGATGCCCTATTGATAGCAGTTGAGAGAATGAGCTATTGTATTTTAGCTCATACTATAACCTAAAATATTATGGGTAGTTTATATTTTTGAAACATTGTGGTTAAAATCTATAATTGTTGCACAGGGTTAATAATTTTCTTATCTGTAGGTATTTTTAAATTGACATTTTCTACCCAAAATACATGTTTCCATTTTATACATTATACTGGATTTTTGTTACAAAAATGTGGAGAACTTCTCAAAATACCTTAATTTAAATTATTGAATTAGTTGACATAATAATAAAAGTTCACTTTCTAATAAAGCAGCAGTAAAAGCGATAAAAGGAAGTTTATTTTGAAAAGGGCAACTCCAGAATCCATAGATATGATATTATATCATTCTCTCAACCGCTAGACACAAAAGACAGCAACAAATTAATTGGTTTTCCATCACTAAAAATAGCATCAGATACAGAAATAAAACTTTGAAATCATGAAGTTCTAAGACAAATATTTAGGTTGTGTGTTCTGGGGGGGGGGGGAACCACTGCTTAGAACTGGGTTACTTTTATGTCTTGTTACAGAGGTATTTATGTTATTAAAGTAATGTGATATAGAATATGACTAGTGAGGATTTTTGCAATATTTGCAAATAGCTGTGATTTACCTCAAAGTGATACATTCTCTTTCTTTAGGTCTAGCACTATGTATAATTGAGGATGGGTCCTACTTAAAGATAACCTTTCTCTGGAATAATCCTGTTTCAGATTATTAAATGGGTAGTTCTCTTCCAGGCAAGGACAAGTGGAGAGGCTGGAAAGCATATGAAATAGTCAGCTAAACCTTTTCCTAGTCTTAATGACAGAGGTCCTCTTTTGGCCTCAAGTTATTCACATTCGGTAAGACTTCACCCTCTACTTTTAGTTCTTTAAACACAGCTACTCTGCTTACATGTCAAAGAGTGTGGCCCAGTAGCTGTCATCAGGCACAACATGCCAGAAGGTAACTGGATATCTTTTGTGATGATTCTAGGTTCATTCTTACTATTTTACAGATTCTTTTTCCTTACTGAAAATCTTACTATATTTCTATTGACTTCATGCAAATATATTCTTGTGGCTATACACTCATAGAGAAATGTTAGAAAATATGTTGGTGATAAGGTTGAAGTTCTTAAATGCAGAATAAGTGAATGCTTACATTTTATAGCATGAAAATGCTGGTCAGATAGTCAGGCTGTTAGTTACAGGTTGACTCTAAGGATATGAGTGGAAGGGACAAAAATAAATTTCTAATCAAATGGCCCTGAGTTATTGGACAACTATAAGGCGTGGATTGCTTTCTAGCTTTGGCTTATTTTCCTGTCCCTGTGAGAACTATCAAAATGGGTAGCAATACTAATAACTCCCTCACCCCCAGGATGGGCTCCTTCTTTGAGCAAGGGCAACAAGTCCCAAGATGTGAAGGACTCAAAATACCTGTGGTGATCTCTCCTTAATCTTTTCTAACGTTGGCCTTTTCTGGACCTCATTGCTTAGAAGCAACAAAAAATTAAATGGTGATCTGGATATGACATGGGAGCTAAAATTGGCAACGATAGTCTGATTGAAACATTCTTTTCCAGCTCCTATGTATGTAAGCTTTTTGCTGATTCTCTCCTGTTTAGTTAAAATAGTGGGAGGCTGAAGTGGCACAATGGAGTACTTTCTAGTTCAGTAAAGGTTAAGTCAGAAAACAGCTTCCACTGATCAGGTATAAAGCAAATAAAGGAATTTATAAAGTTGTAACAGGTGCATTTTTTCCTTTTTTGAAGGGAATGAAATGCCACATACTGGCCATACTTAACTGTTAAATTAAATCTTTCAATGGTTGCCAATTTGGTTTTGGGTCCTGGATCTTAAAGGAGAATTAGTGGTAGATATTAACTATTAATTGTCACGTAAATAGATGGGTCCATTTTGGAATTTATAGGGTATTTCACTACTTGCAACAATTGGGGAAAAGAATAAACCTCAGTTAGGTACCTGCCTGGTGTGTGTGTGTGTGTGTGTGTGTGTGTGTGTGTGTGTGTATGTTTACAGTGAGGATTCATTTAAAAAGCAAACACTTTCTGCTAGTGATCTTGCTAAAAGGTGAAGTACTTTTATTCTTGTTCAGTGCTGCTAGCTGAAGTTGAGCTGCTACCTGTTACCAGTCTACTCTTTTGGTCAGCTGTAGCAAACTAGAAAGCCTTCAAAACAGCAAAGCAACATCCCTCCTTCTCAAAGCCTTAGAAATAACTCTCTTACTAACTTTTCCACTATTCTCACAGACTTCTTATATTAAAAAACAAAAAGCTCCAAGGATTGCTTTCATGGACTATGTACATAAGTGCAAAAAAGGTGTGTCTCACACATCCGCACCCTATCTGAGACAGTCAGTTAACTGTAGCATATGTCTCTTAAACATTAATAAGGGGTCATTCCACAGTATCTTTATGCATGTTTTTGTGAGTGAATTAATTTCATAGTATGCTTTTATCATTCTTTAATCCTCACTTGGATATATTTGTGTAAGTATATAATTCCAGAAAAGAGAAGTTCTGCAGCTACAACTTTGCCATTTGAATGATTTTAGATAAATGAAGTTATGAATAAAATGTCTGGTAATGGAAATACCACAATTTTGTTTTAAAGTCCAAATACTGTGGAATAAAACCCCACCCACACACAACAATTCTATAAACTACAAAGCCTGATTTTAGAAGCCACAACTTGTAAACTTTTTAATGAAAAAAGTCACACAAGGACACAAATTCAGCTTTCAAATGGGAATTTGGGATAAAAAGAAAATCAACCATATATGTTTTCTGAGATTTGAGATGTATCTTCCACATGCTCATACTGTCAAAAACCACATATAGTTTAAAAGTAAAGTTTTCACCAAAAAGGTGTCTAAAGGTAGCCATGTTGTAGTTTTGTTGCTAAAGCAACTAAATATAATTAGTTAAAATTATTATTTGTTTATAAAGTTTGTTCTTAAACTGTGAATTGTAAAGAATAGTTATGGATTATAATCTATATCTTGTTATGCTTCAGTGTCAGTTTAGAACCTATCTAAGAAGGTTGAACACATGTAGTAAAATCTTAAACTTTCTCTAACTCTCCTTCAAAAGTAAATTCATTAGTCACCTAATAATATAAAAAGTAATAAAATCAAAACCTTAAAAACTAACAAGAAAAATGAAAACATGGCACCAATTAGTGAGCTGGTGCTAAGAACTTTAACTTGTCATTATATTTACAGTTTGATTAGGTTAGCAACTAAATTTGTAAAAAAGTTATACCCTTTTACATACTATTTATTCTATTACTTTTAACAGGCACTGGTAAAATAGCATTAGGCCACTATCTTTCTAAATCTATTCAACAGAATTAGGAAATCATATTTCCTTATTTCTATTTCAATGTGTGTGAAATGTAGAAGAGTTAAACAATAAAAGAGGATTCCAGTTTCTAATAGTTCTGTGCAAAACAGCCTATCCTACAAATTAAAATAACTTGAAAACCTTGCAGCTGCATTTTACCTAAGAGCATCCTCATCTACTCTCTCCAAAGGAATGGGAAAGGAACCCAATAATATTCCAAGTAGCAACAGGCCTTCTTTACATATTATTTAATCCAATTTAATGCCAATGTTTTCCTTATTCAGGCATTACTATATTTACTGGACATGCTATTAAAAACTGATTCAAGTGGTAAAGGTTAATTTTATTTGGTTCCTACTGATAGTAGTGAGGAGGTACTTGCTTTTTCCCAATTTGAGAGCTTGTGAGGCTATCAACTAATGAATGCAGCCCAGTGGTGTAGGACAACATTTCTGGCAAAATCAAAGTACTTAAACATGTTAAAAAAAATGGATGGAAAAGATTGATGGAATAGGGAGAAGATGGCTTTTCACATCACAATAAATTACAAATTAAAGACTAATCTAGGCAAGTGAAATGAAATGTAATAGCTGGTTACAGAGCCATGCTCCAATTGCAAAAGAAAATACTGTATTTAAATATCAATTTTATGAATCCATTTAATTTTGATTTAATCTTAATCTCTCTTTAAATTATACTTATGATCACAGTGCTTTTTATAAAAAGTTGACACTACTAAAACCCTCTTAAAAGATAATTTTTAGATTATTTTATCTGTATACATGACTTATTCAAGTGTCAGCACTATTGCAAATTTTTGCAAAAGGCTGAGAGAAATGAACAGACACAATTTTGGATAATTAAAAATAGAGGCCCTTTCAAATTACAAAGCTTATAAAATCTTACCTAAGAATCACAAGTGATTAGAATTTTATATATACAATTCATTCAGTAAATTTCTGTTTAGAGTCACTGATTAGTTTTGTGACTTCTCTTTTTATCTGAAATTTATAGTCTAATGACTAATCTTTCTTCCTTTCTTGAATAAAGATAAGTTGCACAACTCATTGCACAACTCATTTAAAACATGTCATCTTAAAAATAGCATCTTGTCAAAATTCTTTCGCATCTGCATCAAAACTTTAGTGCTTTACTTTTCTTTCTTTAAATTCATTTATAAAGCGATTTTTAAAATGCCAACAATATAAAAAATTGTGGCACCCAAAATTCAACTACCCTGAATATTCCTCACCAAACTTCTTACTAAAAAATAAGTCTTTATTAATGTTGTCCAGTGCTTAAAGCAACATAAAAACAGCTGTACTCTAGGTTTGCTGTCTATGCACATCTTCATTAAAAGTTTAAAAAAGTTAAATGAGACAGCATGTTGCATCAAAAATATCACACTACACAAAAAAGTTGACTTTACCCTGAAACATCTCTCTCCCCTTTAGGAATACATCCAGACTAGCTTAGGTGCATCCTTCCTGAAGTCCTGTGATCACATCTGGGGAGGCACTGACACAGGTTTAACAAAACTCACTTCCAAACACATGTAATTTAACAAAGGTGTACTCTATTTTCTTCTCTATCAATGTTAAGATTTGAGGAAGTAGAAATTAAGTGGTTCAAAGAATCAATAGGTAAAAGTCAGGACATCTCTTATTCTTTAACTCCAGGCAATACTACGAATAAATGGCAATGGCTCCATACAAGCAATACCATTTAGATATCACTGATGATCATGATTTGGATTGGTAATTAAGATCAACAGGATATCAACTATTAAAGAGCTAATTTTGCTCTTTTTTATTCTGAGCCAATTTGATTAGCTTTGGGATGGAGTCTCAAATGTCCTGAAGTACAAACGATGTGAAACAGAGGAACAACTGGGAGCCTGCAGATATTTGTGTCTGACTGTGCCCAACTGGGTAGGTAACCTTGGGCAAGTCACATGCCTTGGGCCTCAGTTTCATCTTCTGTTAAAAGGTTTTACCAACTCCTTTGATCTGTGATTCAAACACTATTAGTCTGTTTAAGGTATCCTAAATCAGATTTTCTTTGTCATTTTCATGAACTAGAAAACATTTAATCTAAGTTGATGTAAAATATCATATGGTTCCACTACTGTATAATAATAGTAACTTTAATAAGTAAGGTGGATGAGGCATATCATATGCAGGACTTAATTACTATTTTACTTGCTTATAAATTTATTTCATAAAAATTAGTAATGTGAATTCAACTCAGGTCCGTGAAGTTCAGTCATTCTGTCTCAACCAAAGGGTCTTAAAAACTTCTCTGTTATAATTTTCAAATACATATAAAAACAAACGAATCCAAGTCAACATTGGTTTTGATGAGAGAGACTCTTGTTGATAAAGTTTGGGGAAAGCAACAGTTAAAATATATTACAGGCGCTTGCTACTTCACTGAAGTGTTTAATAAAACTGAAAACTCAGCTAAACTGGAGCTAAAACCAACTGTGGACATCCTTACTAGAAATTTTAAATAGATCAAAGAATAATTTTAAATGTCTTTCTATCCTCCTTCCCACCCCGCCATTTCTCTAATTCTAAACTCAGGTTCGAACTGTGATTAATAGAAAAGATTGTCCATTTGGGGAGGAAAGGCCTCACTTGGAACTAATTCTCTTTCACCCTGACAGACTTTTGCTAGATTGCACCTTACTTATTATGAAGAGCATAAGACATTTGCATTCAGAAGTGGCTCTTGTGTAAAAGATAGCAATCTTATGGTTTTTATAGGGTTTTCTCCAATGTGTAAAAAGTATCTCCATGTCCCCCTATCTCTGTTTAATTTATTATCTGTAATTAGCATATCTTTGTCTCCAAGTAACAATTTTTCAACTGAAGATGACAAGTGGCTGTTTTAGACAATCAACCTAGGAGATAGGATCCTTGAGCCATAAGATATGTAATGGGTGCTTTACATATTTTTCAGTGTAAATGTTGAAAGATTCATTTAAAGGTAAATTCTAGTTTTATATGCTATTTAAAGAGTGAAATTACGAGTTAATTTTTAAAGCAGTTGTTTGTTTGTTTGTTGCAGGTAATTATGCCTCTCTCACAAATAATGTACTAATGTGATCATATTATACAAGGTCAGATCTGCAGGTATAAATTATTCACAAGCATGATTATGAACAAGTTTTGTGAACACTCAAAAGTAAGGCTTTTAAAATGTCTGCCCCGAGAAACCTACAGAAATATTCTAAACAGTGAAAGCATATTAACATTAACCTGTCATATTTTTTAAGCACACGTATTTCTGTTTCCCATTAGTAACATTTTAGTTGAAACAAAAGACCACACATATTACAGCAAAACTCTGTAGTATGTAAAAATCTAACACAACACAGTACATCACAATACAGTACAATACATTAATGAAGAAAATGGTACTTTGATATAATTTTTACATTTTAAATCAACCCAATAAGCTACTGTGTAAACAAAACAGTAAGGTAACAGCACTTCAAAACAGGCGAACATTACCCACCAAGAATGCACAGTAAGCCAAAAATCCACTGTGAAGATTTACTTAGCCTAATAGTTATTAGAAAATCACAAAGAACAGTGTGACAAATTACAAAATGTTATGGTAGTGTTCTACCTAATAATTCAAATAAGATAGATGGTAGTTAGTTTTCTATTCATGTTTTGTTTTGACATCTCCATTGATTGTTTAATGCTTTCTTTTTAATTTGTATTTGTTGGTTGGTATTTTGTTTGTTTAATATATTGACTGCATGATGCCCATTGTTGTGTTGGTAGTAGAGGACAAACAGTACTACATATAGAAAGGCCTTACGGAGGTTCTCATGGAGAGATTCTGATAATCCTTAACTCTGTTGTTCAGAATTTCAACTGAAATGGAAAAAGAGAGTGAGAAATATTTAAAGGTTATTGAAGCAGGAGTCTGGATACTTTGTTTTTGTTCCAGTTCTTTATATGAACTATACCAAGATATTCCCCACTCTGAATTTTATATTCAACATCTGTAAAAATGGAGCTCTTGGAGATGGTCTCTAAAGACTCATCTCTAAAGTGTATGATTCTTATTGAGTGCTAATGCACAGAGTTGCCCTAAGCTAACAGAGATGCACTCAATTGTTTTATGCATTATCACAATGCCAAGCCTTTGACGAGCATCCATCCATCCAACCATCCACTCCTTCAACAAGCATATTGAAAAATCATGCTTACACCTGAAACTAATAGAAAGTAATATGGAATGTCAACTGAACTTGGAAAAAAAAGTTTGATTCCAAACATTCAAAATATGCAAATATTAAATGAACTTTAAACATTTTATCTGAATGTATTGGAGAATAAATGTGAAATCTAGGTACTATGTAGTATTTTATAAAATTACATCTTTTAAACTTTGAAGAAATTTTCAACATCTGTTGCATATTAACGTGATTATGGTCTGCCAAATCCCTCTACATTTTATAATGGAATCAAACAAAAAAGAATCAGTATTTCCAAACATGTTCTGTTAGAAAGTTAATTTGACAACTTTTGTTTACCTTTATGTGAAGCGACCCATGAGAATCAGGGAAGTGTTCACAAAATCCACAGTCTCATATTTGGTGCTATTCCCAAGTTGCCACTATCCCAAATGATACCACTGAAAACTATTACAATTCACAGCTATTTCAATTATTCCATATACTCAAAGGTATCTTTAAAAAACATTTTTTACGACTGAAGGGACCTATTTATCTAATGTACAGTCAGCTACAGGCTCTGGGCATGTGTGTTCTCAGCAGGAAAGAAATGCTAGCCAGGTTCTGGGGAACCAGCCCATCAAGAGAATAGGACTGTTGCCTTTTTCAACCAAATGACACACTCTGGTTTTGAGAACTTCAAGCTTTCAATGACTAATGTATGCAATTCAGAATAGATATACTTGTTTAATAAGTGCATATAATTAACTAATTAAGATACCTAAAAGTGTTAAGTGGCTTTAAAGGTCACTTGTACCAAGTGAACAATTGCTCAAATTAAGCGTGTGTTATTATAAACTCTGAATCAGACAGAGGTCATCAAATGTTAAGGGGTTAAAAATCCAAAGCAGCAATAAGAACTACATACAAAAAAAAAAGCCATGATTTGAATGGAAATACTGATTAAATTACTAAATTATGTCACTCAAAATTTAAAACAGCTGGGGAAATTCTGGTACGCTTACATGGGAAGCAATGCAAAATAGCAGACTGTAAAAACACTATTTTCTAAAATAACTTAGGAGATACATATTACTTACTGTCTTTAAAAAAATATTTATTGTTTAAAGTATTACATAAGTCTCCTTTTCCCCCCATTGACCTCTCCCCAGCGCCCCCATGCCCTAACAATGCCCTCACCCCCTACTGTCTGTGTCCATTGGTTATGCTCATATGCATGCATACAAGTTCTTTGGTTGATCTCTAACCCCCTATTACTGTCTTTAAGATAATTATCTCAGTCAATTTGTGACAAAATTATTTTGCTTAAATTTATTTTTTAAAGAAGCTAGAAAAGTTGAAAAGAATTAAAATAGAAAGGTGAGCTCTGTCTTTGTCTAACAAATTATACAAAAAAAAGGTAGAAAAGTATTTCAGAATTTGTAAGCTCATTTGGAAAAATACAATTCCAGCTGTAATTTTTATATAAAAATTGCACATTTGCTATATACATTTCAATTTTGAAAATTTTGAATGCTTTAACTCAAGCTCTAAGTTATAAGAAATGTCTATTAGTGAAAGTATTTACCAGAACTTTAGCAAATGCAATGTATAAATAAAAATAAAACCTATATTATTTATATTAATACTCAAAGAAACTTACTGTTATAGTGGTAACTTTTACATCTGTGAAACAAACATGCTATTGTTCAGTTCATCTGTTGATAATCCTGGTATCTATAGTAAAAGAGATTTTAGATTAAACTAGTTTCTTGAGAGGATTCCACTTATTTTGTTCACTGCTTGGACATGGTAATCAATACCATAATCATTTCAAAGAAAAATTTAGATGATATTAATGATATCTACTAATAATTAATTTTGCAAAGCACAGATTAGAATGTGATTTATTTTCCCAATTAATTAATGCTTTGTGTGCTATATGGTTATCATACTTATAATTGAAACAGCAGTGGAACTTGCAGTCATGAAGCATGATTACCACTTTAACAAGGCAAAATGGCCATAACATTGCACAGTAACTATTGTTTGTGTCTCCTTACAGTTTCAAGACTCCCCCCAAATTTATAATTTTCCTTGTGACTCGGCTTGTAAATACCTAAAGCAAATGAAAATCAAAACAACACAAGCACATTTAATGTCAGTATGAGAAGAAATCTCTGACATAATTGTTAGATAAGTATAGGGATATCTGTGCCTTAGAAATAAATGTATTAACTTGCTTTCTTTCCAGCAGATATGAAGGTCAAGGTGATGATTGTACTTAGTGAGCATTTAAACACAATAACCAAAAATAGTAGTAAAATAAAACAAATTCACTTCTTTAACAATGAAAAAGTGTTTAAGAAATATTTAGTATATACATTTAAGGATTGGTGTAGTAGCAACAATTGTACATTATACTACATAACATATAAAGAGAGAGATCTTGTAACTTATTAAAAATGAGATAACTCTGCTGATTCAGCTCAGGATCAGTAGCAAAGCAGATGCACACCTCTAGGACAGAGACTTTCAACCTTATTCATCTCATGGCACACATAAACTAATTATGAAACTTCTGTGGCACAACAAAAATATATTTTCTGCTAATTTCACTATATATATAATTTTAACTCATTCACACATTGTTGTGTTGGCTGTTGCCATTTTTTCATTTGACGATCTGAGGGAAAAGAGATCAGTGCCCCTAACTAAGTAGTCAGGTATTGCATGTTTTAAAAATTCTTATAGTACACCACTGTGCCGTAGCACACAGAATGAGAACCACTGCTCTATAAGAACCACAAAAATAAAAACTGTAAATGTAACGACTACTTGGGAAACACAAGAATATGCAACAATGTCTCTCACCAATTCAGAAAGCATATACAGTGTCTTACCAATACACCGTAGTTATCTAGGTGAAGTAAATTGCCAAACCTGATTGCCAGTAGCTGTTGCAGCGAAGGGAACACTGGTGGCAGGTGTTGTTGCTGCAGACACAGTGGTAGGTGTAGCACCGTGCATCATGGGCACTTTCCGTAGGAAACCATGGAAGCAACACACGGGAGGGTGAACCATTTATGCAACCATGACATAAACGATGAAATGGAGCATGGTAGGGATCACAGCAACAAGCCATGTGACATCATCATCATGGATACACCAGGGTGCAACATGCAATCACAGTCAGTGCAAAGCAACACAGCACAGAATGGGGAAACATTTAAAAAGAGAAAAGGGATAAACAATTATAGTTTGCATTGAGAAAAAATTATTTCAACACTTAGTTAGTTTTTTAGTAGAATAACATTTTATTTGAATTAAAAAGCCATATTTCCAGAGGGTTAAATTGGCTGCATAAAGTAAAATCTTATTTTACCAAGACTATCTGTATTAATAGCTAGTTAAGTAAACAAGTGACCGGGTTGCACATTCAAAATGGGAGTAGGGAAGTGTGATTTGGTGCCTGGGTTCATTAATTTATAGATATGAGTGCTTTCACTAGATTTGTAGGTTCAAAGGAACAGTTACATACATACTTACCTGATCTACATGCAAAAATATGGTAGTTCAGTTGGTGGGTATATGGTAGGGGAGCAGAGATGAATAATACAATGGTAGGGGACAGTGGCAGGTAAGGGGGAGAGATAAACCAAAGGACTTATATGCATGCATATAAGCCTAATGATTAGGCCCTAATCAATGGACACAGACAACAAGGGGATGGGATCATGAATGGGAGGTTGGGGGTAATGGGGGAATAAAGACACATATGTAATACCTTAATCAATAAAGAAATAAAAAAAATACAATGGCCTACATATTCAGGTTTTTAAATACACCTCTGGCAAACTTTTTGAAACTTAAGCTATTTATCAAACACATGGGATACTTTAAAGAAAATATCTGACAAAATGTTGTCTTCATGGAAAATGTTACAGCTACATGGCTAGCAGCTATAACGTCTCTTTCAGAGTGTTTTTTCTTTGCCTTTTCTAGTTTCTACCTCATTTAAAAAGCTTTTGGGGTGCTTTTCTCATCTCTAGCTCGTTGGTCAAACAGAGTAGATGCAAAGCCCAAAAAGAATTAAGGGGCTTATTGAGATAAAAAAAAAAAAAAGTCAAAACAGCAACCACATAGTAGTACAATAAAATTCACTGGCTATGGAAGTGCGGCCTCTGTTATTGAGGGATTGGCTGTCCTCTGTAAAAATTTAAAAAAAAATCCCATTGATAATAACAGGAGCCCTATATGCATATGACGATCTGACTTCTGCAAGTTTGTGAAATGTGTCTTCACATTTTGCCACTCTGCTTTCCTGTCCTTTCACTTAAGAACTCCGTGTGGGAATGCAAACGGCATGCGTCAGTAGTGCTGCTTGCTATAGAGTTGCTGTGTTTCCAAGGTGGGAGGAGTGTTTTTAGAATTGACATGTTGTACAGTAAGGAATGTCTCTAAGCCATAGATAACTAATGGTAGGAACAAGGAAAAACTACAGTTTCTGTTAATCACCATTTGGGGTACAACTATGGTTTCTATGGCAATAGATATGTTGATTTTCCTCTCTCCAGGCCATTCATTTTCTCTGTAAACTTTCAGAAAATCTGAAATTCAATCAATGTAGATGTAAGTCATTATATATGAATGCTTGCCATTTACCCTTTAAGTTCTTGGTTTGCTTTCCAAAATGAGCTAGAAATGAGAAAAGCACCTTAAAAGCTTTTTAAATGAGATAGAAACTAGAACAGGCAAAGAGAAAACACCCAGAAAGAGACGTGATAGCTACCAGCCATGTAGCTGTAACATTTGCTGTGAAGACAATATTTTGTCAGATATTTTCTGACGCAGGACATTAAAAAATGTTCTAGCTTTGCTAAACTCATTCTCTCTAAACATCTGAGTATTGAATAATTTAGATCTTTTTAAAAATATATATTTTATTGATTTTGTTCAGAGAGGAAGGGAGAGAGATAGAGAGTTAGAAACATCGATGAGAGAGAGTCATCAATCAGCTCCCTCTTGCACACCCCCTACTGGGGATATGACCGCAACCAAGGTACATGCCCTTGACCGGAATCGAACCCGGGTCCCTTCAGTCCCCAAGCTGACGCTCTATCCATTGAGCCAAACCGGTTTTGGCTGAATAATTTAGATCTTATGGATAACTTTTTTGGAGGAATATTTTGTACTTTAAAAATTGTACATTTTAAATATTTTATAGTGTTCTAGTAACAGATATAAAGCTAAGAACAGAACTGCCCATTCTGGCTAGATAAGGAAATGTTTCAAAATAGGGTGAAAATAGAGCAATGGCAGGATCAGTATTTGCCAACAAACTAGGACTTGGGAGTGTAGGACTAATGTGATTCCCTAAAAATGTGAAATAGCACTATATGAAACCTTAAATACTTAGATAATGTCCAACCATATCATTCAGTCATATGTTCTTTCATAGTCACAACAGAAAGTCACTTTTTTTCCAGATTAGAATAATTGAGAATTTTTGTACAAAACCTACCAATACTTGAAGCAGGTGCCATGCACAGTATTTGCCCTGTACACCGTGCAGAAAAAGCGTGAAAAGTAAAGAAAAGAGATATTTCATTATTTAAGCTTTACTGATAGAAATAATTTTAAAAAGATCATATTTTCAATATTAATTTATTATCACATGCAAACCCAAGTAATCTCCTATGCTTATAATTACAGCTTAGTTTTAAAATCACAAACCCAGGTAATCAAAGTAATTCTTGGATGCTTAGGTATAAACTTGAATATAAAAATTTCTTTAAGAAGATTATCTCACTTAAATTACATCCTGTATTTATTTTGGACAAATACATCCTAAGTGACTTTAATCATGAAAGGGAGAATTTTATTTATCACATAAATTGTTTTCAAAATATGCACCAAGATCTGGAACCTAGTGCAATAAATCTATTTAGAGTATTTATCGATTATCACTACCTACTCCACCTTGTAACTGAGGACTTGACTATGAACATATGGCAAATAGGCTTTTTATCAAAAGGGGGCTCAGCCTGAAAGGTTTTTAATTTATTACTTAAGGGGGACAGTGTTCTTCAGATATTTTGGCTTATAAAGCTAGATTTTAAATAATCCAAATCCAGCAAAAAGTAAAAAAAATTGTGTGTTTTTTAAATGATACCATGAAAATTATTGTTAGTAACTAGACAAAACTTTTTAATAGATTCTTCCAAAATGTATTACTGATTAATTGAGTAATCAAGAGATTATTTTCAAGTCCAATTAGATAATTCTACCCATTTAGTATGTTTATACAATTAACAAGTCTTTATAAATTAATTTTTAAATCATATCATTTTCATTTAATAATAATTTTAAAGTGGGAATTTATAATTCTGGCAAGAAAATCTATACTCTGCGTGATTCATATTTTCAATTTATTCCTAAGAGACTATATGGTAATTCTTAAAGTACTGAACCACTAGAAGAAAAGTATTTTCATACAAAATTCTGGCTTAAAATTTTTATTCAATTTGGAACAAAATTGTTAAGCTATTAAATGTAGTTGAATGTAAAGATAAAATGTGCTGCAAAGTATCCGGAAAATATGTCAGGAAAACTGCTATATTTTTAAATATTAACTGGCTTGAGATGGGGGGTAGGAGAGGCTGGGGGAAGATCAATTGTGGGAAAAGAGGTACATGTACTACTACTTGTAATACTTTAAACAATAAAAAATAATTAGAGGCTAGATCTATCTGTTATATTATACTATATATTACCTGTACATCATACTATGCTATAAATTTAAAGATAGTTTTATTATAAGTATCTTCAGTATATCAAAGATATATGGGCTTCATTTTTTTGCAATGCTGAAAATGGGAAAGATATTTTTGAGGGCAGGCCAATGTCTTTGAATGTTATACCTAAGAGTCAAAAAATTAGTTTGAGACCTAACCAAGTGAATCAATGATAGGAAACAAAAATTAAGAAATGTTAAAAAGAAAAATATGGACAATGTTTCCTAGATTGATTTTAAATCATTAATTTTCAGAAATCACAGAAACAAATTTTTAAATATATACTAGCTCAGTAGCGGCAAACTCATTAGTCAACGGAGCCAAATATCAACAGTACAATGATTGAAATTTCTTTTGAGAGCCAAATTTTTTAAACTTAATCTTCTTCTAACGCTACTTCTTCAAAATAGACTAACTGTGGTATTTGGTGGAAGAGCCACACTAAAGGGGCCAAAGAGCCACATGTGGCTCGAGAGCCACTGTTTGCCGACCACTGTACTAGCAGATCAAACATAACTGCCCTGTTTTATTTCCAGACAAAACACCTGTTGATCGTCCTGGCATAAAAGTCATTGGGTTGCTGGTGTGCATTGCATATAGTCACATCATCATTACACTCAAAGTGTTCATAGCCCAGTTCTCACCTGGAGGGATGAAGGCTGGCTGTGGGAGCTGCAGGTTAGTCAGAGCCTGTTGGCAGTGGAAAACACTGGGATTAAAGAACTGAACGGCACCATTAGTCTTTTCAAGTGCCGGTCTCTTTGGTATCAGCTGAAATGCACCAGGCTGTAGGGCCTGTGAGGGAGGGATAGATTAATAAATAGTACCAAAGAAAGTAAAAACATATACTCAAACCAAGCAAGCAACAGTTAGATAAGGTGTGGTCTGGGAGCCCTCTACAAGGATATCCATCGAGCAAGGTAAGCAGCTGCAAAGATGAAGCAGTTCACTAAATGACAACTTAATTCAGAACAGAAAAATACACACAAGGAGAAAAAGAAGCTTTTCAACTTCACTAATTTTGGCAAATAAAATAGGGTCTCGCTGAAACCGGTTTGGCTCAGTGGATAGAGTGTCAGCCTGCGGACTGAAGGGTCCCGGGTTTGATTCCGGTCAAGGGCATGTACCTGGATTATGGGCACATCCCCAGTAGGGGGTGTGCAGGAGGCAGCTGATCGATGTTTCTCTCTCATTGATGTTTCTAACTTTCTGTCCCTCTCCCTTCCTCTCTGTTAAAAAATCAATAAAATACATTTTTTTAAAATCAATAAAGTATATTTAAAAAAATAAATTATATATTTTTTCTCTTTCCTTATAAAATGGGAGCAAAAGCACAGTAGGTTATAATAATCAGTAAAGCTTTTAAAATAGTTACCTTTAGAAAATGTTAGTGAATGAAGTAGAACACATAGGTTCTCTCTTTTCCAGCTTATCACCTTGGCTATTCGTATTAGGGTCCACTCGTGACTATCCAAGGTTATGGTTACAAAACAATAGACACACTAAGGTATATATTAATCACCCCCCCCAAAAAAAATAGTGCATAAATCCTGGTCTGCTCTTACCATGCCAGTGGCAGCTGAGTGGTTCATCTGGTGATGAGCTGCCTTGAGTTTGGCTTGCAAGTGTGGGGGAGGATGAAAGTACTTGCATTTCTCCCGGGAGCATCGGCCTTTGATGTAATCCATGCAGATGGTCACAGTATTATCACTTGACTCAATCATAGAAACATCAGTAGGATGAGCATAGCGGCAATCGTTTTCACCACGTGTACAATTTCCACGCTGAAATTCTCGGCAAATCTTAAGGAAAAAAAAATATCACACTGATGACTTAAAAGTCGGTTAGGTTTTATTTATTTTTCCAGTGAATGTAAGAGCAATAGTATACATTATGGTACTTAGCCATCTATGGTATTTAGGAAAAATCTAAGAAGCTGAAGGATCATGTAAAACCATGTTCACTCTGAGATGTAAACATAGATAACATTTTGATTCTTAGGAAAAATTTCCATTTTTTCCAAAGAAGACTGTCTGTTTTTCTTATGTTGAAATAAAAGTGCTTAAAAGCATTGTTTAATTTTCCATTTAATACAGTCTAAAGTGTAATTAGCTACATATGCAAAAGGGATTTATTTTGTTAAGGCCCAAAATAAGTCTTTATCACACAGCAATGTGCTTTTCCATGAGCAGACTTGTGGCCCATGTTTGAATTACATTATGTGTACAATCAAATTCCATTATAATACATTGCCAGGCATTTAAGAAGCTGCCGATGAAGCTGACTTTGTAAGAAATTGACTAGCTGTTTATTTTAATTTATGAAGAATGACAATTAAGAGATGTTTGAAGGACTTCAATAAATTAGAAAGCTGTTTCTTATTTTTTTTACATTTTCTTTTCTTAGCAAAAGGGATATTTAATATCTAATGCATCATTCTTTTAAAAACTGGAGAAAAGGTTTAGATACTATGAGACTCATTTACATTCTGCATTAGCAAATAGACTAGACCACCTTTCTTTTGTCCAGTTTGATTATTCTAACAAGTAGAAACTCATCAACAAACATAGCAATTCCAATCTATGAAGCTGGAGCTTGGGTAGAAGCAGCATTCCCACTAGACTTTCTGCGCATAGCAAAGGAGATGCATTTTGTGGTCAGGAACACTAAGACATGCTTTAACCTACTGTACAACTGAATCAATTCACTTCACAAAAGGGTATAATTGCAGTAGCAAAACAGTTAACATTGTTCTGAGGTTATACTCCATAAGCTAAAAACCCAGGTGCACTTATTTAAGGCATTCAAAATATAAAGGCTCTTAGGCTGTTGTTTCATGCATAAAGTTAATATAAACCATATAATATTTATATATTTCTACACAAATACCTCCAGTTTATCTGAACGCATCGGTTTGGGACCAGCAGCTCCTGACAATGTGAGACCCGGGTTTCCAGAAAACAGAAGAGGTGTGTTTGGTAAAATTTCAGCAGGAACCAGGCCCATTCCAGGATGAGTAAAGTAAGGATTGAAAGCCATGGGAGGATTAGCTGCAAGTGATGTAGTCATAGGAAAGGAAGTCTGTATGTTTGAAAGAAAAAAAAAGTGTTAGAGTTAAATGGATTATTCCTATTAATACACAAGGAGACATTCTTTTAGAAAGACTAAGCATATAAAAATTTGTCATTGTTTCTCAGATTTATTTTGAGTCTTATTCTAATTTCATATAAGAGTTGCTTTAACCAACAAACATCTTTGAGTATCAAATTTATTGGTAAACTGATAAAAACAAGTCACATAATTTTAAATAACCACCAGTTAGCCAAATTTCACCTCATTGATGGATTCTGTTCCAAGTGTGTTTTATTCAGCACTTTTCTTTTTACCTAAAAACCATGCCACCAATGATATCATATATACAGACAATCTACCCTGTCTCCTTTCATAAGCATGACTTTTGCAGGTAGATTTAAGGTTCTTCTGTAAGCTTGCTTTGTTCCACCCTCCTCCTTCCTCTTCCCCATCAGTACTGCTTGGTTCTAAGGCTGCTTGTCCTAGTACAGTTCCCACCTGCCCTACTAGACACTCACTTCTCTTGGTTCACTATTAATTTTGGAAGACAGCAATAAGTGAGGAGGAAAGGGGTAGATTTAAAATGTGGGAGCTCTAACAATTTCATGCCATTTACCTAAAAGGAGATAGGTATGATAATTTTTAAAATTTTCAATGTTCTATTTCATAAACTATCAATAATTTGACTTGCCTAGCCTTGTCTTTATCTAATGGGCCAGATGATATCTATAGTTTAAAAGGAGACCCTAAAAATACTACGAAGATCCCTGTTAGGCAGGAAGAAATAAGATAGGATTATAAGGTACATAAACTGGAGTATAGCTTATGAAGAAAATCTTTACAAACACAAAGTATTCTTGCAGATTTTTATTTTATTTTAAAAAGTTCTCATCTCAAACAGTTTGATATATACACTGGAGTGGCCAGATTATTGTGATCTCTGAATGCATAATAATCTGACCACTCAGTGTGTGTGTGTGTGTATATATATATATTAGAAGCCCAGTGCATGAATTCGTGCATGGGTGGAATCTGGCCAGCCTGGCCAGGGGAAGGGGACATGGGCGGTTGGCCAGCCTATCTGCTGGTTGAACTCCTGGTCGAGGGGACAATTTGCATATTAGCCTTTTATTATATAGGATATACACTGAGTGGCCAGATTATTATGTGTTAAGAGATCATAATAATCTAGCCACTCAGTGTATATTGCCTTATTTATGGGTAATCACAGAATTTATCACTTTACTGTGCTGTTTCCAGTTTATTCCATATGTGGAAGTCTTTACTTCTCAATGAAGTTATTTCTTTGATAGTTCTATTGTCTCCCCTGTGGTACCCAATACTTAGTGAATGACTGATTGACTTATCTAATCAATGATAAAGTTTAAAAATAAATGTAAACATTTTAAATTAATTAATAACAAATCATGTTTAAATGTAGTACATTTCTAACAGAGACTCTATAAAGCCGTTAGTCGTTAATAATGCTGTGCAACTCGTAGTGTTCACTGTGTATTACTGATAGCATGTATTCTTCTTACTTTGTTATTTCTTTCACTAAAAAAATAATGAAACTGTTAATTGACAACCAACCTATGCCCAAACCTCTGCTAAATCACATTAATAGGAATAACTCTAAATATAGAGTGAATAAGAGGTTGTAGAGTATGAAGTGAAGAGCAATATACTTGAACTTTTCACCACCACAGCATTCTCCATAAAGTCCCTCTTATAAACCACACTTAACTTGGAAGGAAGGACTTCTGCATAAGCACTCTACCTTAGATGAGTTTATCAAATTAGCTAATTTGACATTGAGGACAGGGAAAAACCTTCCCCCTGCAAACTGGTAAGACTCACTTGGGTGAGTAAGCTTGCTTTGTTCCACAGCAATGAGTGAGGAGGTAGAATAATTTATGAGGTAGAAAGTCTAGTTTATGAAATAGAACATTGAAAATTTTAAAAATTATCATACCTATCTCATTTTAGGTAAATGGCATAAAATTGTTAGAGCTCCCACATTTTAAATCTACCCCTTTCCTCCTCACTCATTGCTGTCTTCATTGGGAACAAGAGGCAATATCAGGTTCAAGGAAAGATGATGGAACAGTCTGAAAGGTGCTTTTAAGGTTGATCAGATCATCAAGCCTCAGAGGCAAGGTAGAGGAGGGTGTGGGTAAGGGGGAGGAGTCAACCAAAGGACTTGTATGCATGCATATAAGCCTAACCAATGGACGTAGACATCAGGGAGATGAGGGAAGGAGTGGGGGGATGGGGGGATAATGGGTGGATAAGAACACATATTTAACACCTTAATCAATAAAGAAATTTAAAAAAGGTTTGTGTACAGTCAGCCAAGGGCTTACCCAGAGTAACTAGGTTCTATGATGTAAGAAGCTATACAAACATGTCATACTTTTTATTGAATAAGACATGAAGGTCCAGTAATTAGCAGATGAAATATTATCTTTTATAATGAGTAAAAATCTCTTGGAGACAGCCACTCAGGCATATTTATATAAAAATGCAGACTTTATCAATTTGATAATGTATGATTTTCTCAAAATCAGCAAGAATCTCTCATTATAAAATCTCCATATTTGAACCACACAATAGTATGCTTTGTTGTACTTATTTTCTCTTTCATAATAAATTTCTAACTAAAGTCACTATCCCATTCTTCTAAATACTTTTTGCTTTTGTCTTTTACAGAACTGAGAACCATTATTACATTTTAAAAACTACTGAATTAAAAAAAAAAGATCTACCTATGAGTGGGTTTTCCAGTTTAAAAACACCATTGAAGATTAATAGATACTGATCAATTAATAATAATTAAGCCTAATGTACATATAAGCAATGCATCCTATTTAAAGTAGCACTGAAATTCCACTAACTTTTCTTTTCCTTTTTTTTTAGGGGGGGATTTTTTTAGGTTAACTTCTGCCTTCTTCTTAAATTTGTTACATTCTCCACAGTTCAAAAACTGTGAAAACAAGCTGTAAATTAATTAAAGGTTTACCTAAAAAGTGCTGTAAAGGGCTTGCTAAAAATATTTAGGCTTTCACCATATACTACACTGTTCTGTCTTTAGGTTTTAAAATGAGTACTATGTTTTATAACAATTTCCTCCTTGAGTACAAACTTCATTCAATAATAACTGTTATTAGAAGCAATTATTCTACCTCCAGAAACTCCTGAGGTTTTTATTTATTTTTAAATGGACATTTCTATTTTCTCACTATTATCTCTGCCCCACGGTAACTACTCCATTTCATGAATTTGAACATTCAGGGGTTCAGATTTGGGTAACAGCGTCCCCTCTATCCCCACCCTTCATTAAGTAAGCCAAGAAGCCTACAATCTTGCACATTCAACTTTAATAAGTAAATTTAATCCTGCTTATACCTGTATTGTAGCCTTAAATGTCAGTTGAAATAAAATAAACTGTTCCAAGGGGTAATCTTTGTTTTAAAGAAAAAAGTTCTTGCCGAAACCGGTTTGGCTCAGTGGATAGAGCGTCGGCCTGCAGACTGAAAAGTCCCAGGTTTCGATTCTGGTCAAGGGTATGTAGTACCTTGGTTGCAGGCACATCCCCAGTGGAGGGTGTGTAGGAAGCAGCTGATCGATGACTCTCTCTCATGGATGTTTCTAACTCTCTATCCCTCTCTCTTCCTCTCTGCAAAAAAATCAATAAAATATATTATAAAAAGAAAAAAGTTCTTAATAGGTTGAATGTGATTTCTATTTATAGCCTGAAATGGTCTAGACTCTTAAATATGTTTCAGATATTCATTTGAACCTAAATTATTTACTAAATATTTGAAAATATGAGAAGACTTTTCCTCTTAAAACCAGGGTTAGAGTTTCAATTTTCTCTGAGTTTTATAAAACCAACAAGAATGGTGAAGACAATTGACTATTAATAAAAGATCACCTAGACAATTTACCCTCACTGTCTTTAGCAGGATTAGTTCCTAGAGAAGGAATTCCCACAGATTTCCTAGAAACTCTTAGGGCCTTAGGAAATGCCTCCTAAAAGTTAGTGAATTGTCTCTAGAACAATGCCCCCTAATCTTTTTTAGTCTTAGATTTCTCTGAGAGTCAGATCAAAGATGCATGCATTCTAGGGAAGTTCAAGGATCTGTCTGCCCTGTTTTTGTTTGGCCAACTTTGTAACAATGGTTCCTACATTTTTAAATGGTTGAAAAAGTAAAAGATAAAAAATATTTCATAATGCATTAAAATTATATGAAATTCATATTTTAGTGTCCACAAACAAAGTCAACTGTGCCCATTGGTACAACAAAAAGTTGTAGCTACTTGTTTTCTCTCTTGCTATAGAAGTGCCTATATAATATTCTCAATTTTGCCCATTGTCCCACAAAGCCTAAAATCTTCACTATTTAGTCATTTACAGGAAAGTTTGTTGACCCTCATTCTAGAGGATTCCCCAAAAAATAAAGCACTCTATCAATTTATTACTAAATTAAAGTACTAATTATATATAAACCTATTGATGTGAATTTAATACTTGTGGCAAGATTCTAGAAGTTGAAAATGCTTGGCTTTAGAAACAAATACTGAATTATTCACTGAAATGTTCTTTTAAATAGTCACTAAAATTAGTATTCCTTTTTTCCCTTATTTATTAAGATATTACATATGTGTCCTTATTGCCCCATTGCCCCCCTCCCCACTCCCTCCTTCATTCCCTCATCCCCCTGTTGACTGTGCCCATTGGAAGTCTTTTGGTTGATCTCTCCCATTTACCTCTACCCTTATCTACCTTCCCTCTGAGGTTTGACGGACTTATAGATGCTTATCTGTCTCTGGATCTGTTTTTGTTCATCAGGTTATATTGTTCATTATATTCCACAAATGAGTGAGATTATGTGATATTTATCTTTCTGTGACTGACTTATTTGCTTAGCATAGCATAATGCTCTCCAGTTCCATATATGCTGTTGCAAATGGCAAGAATTTCTTCTTATTTTTTTTTTTTTTTA